AATGGGACACCTGTAATACTTTCAACAATAAAGATAAATTTTAAAAATAAAATAAAATTCTTTAAAAAAATTTTTAAAAGGGGGGAAACAAAAATAAAAGCATATTTCTCAATTTCCAATATCACTTCTCCTTATCTTTCTTTTGTTATTAATTTCTAATTACTCCTTGTTGTTGAAGGATGTCTGTACATTACCAGTTCTTTGAAATTTGTTGGGATTTGTTTCCTGGTGCAGTAAGTGGGCGAGTTCTGAAATTGTTCCATACTGAGAGTCTGTTCTCCCCATCAGGACGATCTAGTTAACTCTGTGGTTCAAATCTCCTATATCTTTGTGTGTTTTTCTTTTAAATCTGTCAACTACTGAGAAAAAAAGTGTTAAAATCTCCCACTATGATGATAAACTTGTCAAGTTCCTTATATACGATACCAGATTTAGTTATATATTTTGCAGGATGTTATTAGCTGCATGCAAATAATTGTTATATCTCCTTGTAATCTTCATCCTAAGTAACACCTGAAAGTCTATTTTTTCTAATATTAATAAAGCCGCATCAATTTTGTTAACCTTTTCCTGTAGGTATAGCCATCCATTTCTATCCTCTCCTTCTCAACTTTTCTGTGTCCTTATTTTTAGATACCTGTTTCAAGTAGCATATACTTGAACATATTCCAAAAAATATTTCCCTTGTTTCTAAAACTTTGCTTCTACTATGGGAGACTTTGTGACTCAAAGTCTTCATTCATCCCTAATGCTCTGTCTTCTTTGCACAGGGATGGTCCCTTTCCCACAGCTCCTGGCAGGCAACCTCCTGAGGGCTGAGGGCTATACCCACTGCAGATACAGTGGCATTTTAAGCAGCCTTCTGAAAACAATGGGGAATCACTTCTAAGTTCTTCCACTACTGAGTGAAAATAGATTTTTCTAAAGCAGAGTGCATTCTAGCAGACACAGCCTGATCCAGTTAACTGGGAATGAGCAGGATAGGGGCGCCAGGCTCACTTCTCATTCCAAGTCCTATAAAATGAGCAAGTATGATTTTGGCTAGGAAAACAAGGACCAGACTTTGTAAGTCAGGACAAGAGGGCTTTCCTCTGGGGCAGTGAGGGTCTCTTCTCATGGCGTTGAAGGCACTGGGTTTGCAATTAGGGCTTCCAAGCTTGATTGCCTGCTCTGTCTCATGGGAGAGGTGTGTTTGGACAAGTCACTAAATATATCTGAGCTTCAATTTCTATTACGAAATGAAGGAGTTGAACTAGATCACTGAGGGACACCATCCTAGCGATCACGTTTTCTGTTTACATTACTGGATCCACCAATCCCCGAAGGTCTCAGACACTAAGTCTTTTAGCAAAGTGTAAATTCTTACAAAAACAGCCTTCTAGGTAAACTGCAGGAAGCATCCTTTACAGTGACCCACTTTACACAAAAGTAGTGCAATGGCGGTTACATAATTGTTTAAAAATATTTTATTAAGCATCAATTTAAAAATGCAAGAAAAGAATATAACACCCTGGAGCAAGTATTGCACTTATAAAATCTTTTTTTACATCTTCACAAAACTCATTTCTCAAATACCCTTTTACAGAGATGTATAAATAAACTGCTTCCAAACTGTCAACACTCAATGCCGTTCCTTTCCTGTCACCACACTATGGTGTCTGCTTCTCTCGGTGCAGGCCTGGAACTCCCAGCAGCAACACTGGAGGTCTCACACCTACCTCTGTGAAGAGTAAATCTTTCTGAATGCTCAATGTTTAGTATTATAAGGTTGTTTTTATGCTGAGAAAAATAGATCTTTCAAAGGCAATGACAGAATGAGGCTTAAATTGACACAGTTCACTGTTAACATTGCTTGTTTTCCAAGGCAGTCAGGAACTTCTGATTCTTGGTCTTCAACAGCATGACAAAACTGTTTGGCATGATTCTGCCTCGCCCGTCCTCACCCACTTGGCCCATAATAATGTAATTTTGACCTAAAAAATAGAAGATAAATTAATTTCTTTCTCTACATGTGCTTGTTTGAAACAACCTAGACTATAACTTTTATCGTGAATAGGTGCTGAATTTTATCAAACGCTTTTTCTGCATCTATTGATATGATTGTGGGGTTTTTATACTTCATTTTGTTTATGTGATGTATCATGTTTATTGTTTTGCAGATACTGTATCAACCTTGCATCCCTGAAATAAATCCCACTCGGTCATGGTGTATGATCTCTTTAATGTAATACTGGATTTGGTTTCCTAATATTTTGTTGAGGATTTTAGCATCTATGTTCATCAGGGATATTGGGCTATAATTTTCTTTCTTTCTTGTGTCTTTATCTGGTTTTGGAGTTAGGATAATTCTGGCCTTGTAAAAAGAACTTGGGAGTCTTCCTTTCTCTTGAATTTTCTGCAATAATTTGAGAAGGATAGAGGTTAGTTCTTTGAATGTTTGGTAAAAATCACGTCTAAAGTCACAAAGAAAGAAACAAGGAAAAGCTCCAGGGCTTTTGTTTTTTTTTTGTTTTTAATAAAAAAAATTTTTTTTGTATTACTGCTCCAGTTTCACTAGTTGTAATGTCTATTCAGATCCTCTTATTCTTCCTGATTTCATTTTGGAAGGTTGTATATTTCTAAGAATTTATCCATTTCTTCCAGATTTGTTGGCATATAGCTGTTTGTATTATTTTCTTTCAATCCTTTGTATCTCTTTGGTGTCAGCTGTTACTTCTCCTCTTTCATTTCTTTTTTAAATATATACATATATCTTTATTGATTTCGGAGAGGGAGAGAGAGACAGACAAACATCAGTGATGAGAGAGTCATTGGAGGTTGAGCCTGCAGCCCGGGTATGTGCCCTGACCAGGAATTGAACCTCGGTCTCCTGGATCCTAGGTGGATGCTCAACCGCTGAGCCACGCCCGGCCGGGCTCCTCTTTCATTTCTGATTGTATTTATTGGGTCCTCTCTCTGTTTCTTGATGAGTCTGGGTAAAGGTTCATCAATCTTGTCTTTTAAAAGAACCAGCTCTTGGTTTCATTGACCTTTTGTATTATATTTTTAGATTGTATTTTGTTTATTTCTGCTCTGATCTTTATTATTTCCTGCCTTTTATTCACTCTGGGCTTTGTTTCGTGTTCTTTTTCCAGTTCCTTTAAGTGTAAAGTTAGGGTGTTTACTTGAGCTTTTCCTTGTTTCTTGAGATAGGCCTATAATGCTATGAATTTCCCTCTTAGAACTGCTTTCCCTTTGTCCCACAGATGTTGTGGGCTGTTATCATTTTCATTTGTTTCCAGGTGTCTTTTGGTTTCTTCCTTATCTCACTGTTACCACATTCACTGTTTAGTAACATGTTATTTAGCATCCATGTCTTTGTGTGTTTTTCAGCTTTCTTGTGATTGATTTCAAATTTCATAGTATTATGGTCAGAGAAGATGCTTGATAACATTTCAATTTTCTTAAACTTTTTTTTTGTCAATCCTCACCCAAGGATATTTTTCCATGGGTGAGAGTGGAAGGGAGGATGGGGGAGGA